TATTTGAAATCTCTGGGTTTATCTTGTGAATCATGTGTATGTGCCTGTACACAGAACAGAGCTCATACTGTAAGGCATTCCACAGTGCCCCTAAAGGGATCTCATGGCACTCCAGGAGGCTGTAGCAGCCTGGTTGAGAATCACTGCATATTTTTAGTGTTTCGAGGCCCAAGGTCAGATTCAAGCTGGTTCCATGTATGCCAATGCTTAGCTGTTGGAATGCCTAAAGCTGAAGCACTTTGCTCAGGAGGGTTATTCAGTTTGACTGGGTTTGGGTGCCTACAACCTCCATACTATAAATGATTGCACTTAAGTGGCTCAGAGTGATTCAGAGCTGGGAGCCTATATAAACAATTGGCATCTTCAAAGGGAAGTTCAGAAAGCTCAAGCTCAGAAGTAGACATAACCTTATCCCCCATAACCTTGTTATGAGATAAAGCTTGCCAAAAACTGGTGCCAATTTGAGAGTGGTTGTGAAAGAGTAAACATTGCCCTCTGCCCCCTCCTGCTTGCTGGTGGGGAGAGAGAAGCTGGCAGTCATCTAATAGCACAGTTTCTTTCTCATTTTGTTCTTCCATGCACCTACTCTTGCAAAGAAAATCAGAGAGCTCTTCCCTGCTTAAGACATGCCCCTCAATTTCAGAGAGCTGGTTTTGGGGGGAGGGGGGAAACGGGTATGGTATGTGAGGAAATATGGACATTGTCATATTTCATTATCCCTTTTAAATGGCTAACCATTTAATTATAACGAAATATGAAAAATTGAGTAGGCAGTTAAAGTGCCTCTATTTTTGATGTAGAGTTCTAGTTATTAATCAAAGAACCCAGTACTCTTTCCTGCCATGGCAGGGGGTCGGACTAGATGATCTTCTCAGGTCCCTTCCGACCCTAGAAACTATGAAACCCTAGATATTAATTACAGATGCTGGAATTGCACAATCTTTAACAGACAATTGTTCACTTAACATCTCTGTTTTCCCAGGGCTATCAGTAACTTGTATGAAGATGCTAATTGGTCACACAAGGATCTGGTGGGTCCGATCAGCAAAGCTCAAAAGCATATCACCAAAAGCAAGGCAAGCGCTTCTTCCTGGAAGAATCTGAAGCGTTGCATCAAGGAGCTGAGACAGAGGGCCCAAGAAGGACACCTCATTTCTTTCACAGACATGTGGGCTCTTGTACTTGAACATATGTTGCATGGTGAAGTATGTGCTCTGCAAATCACTGTCCTTTGCTACCAGATTTCTGTGAGGAGCCATGTCCTTATCCATCTTCCTAGAGATCTTCTTGACATCTGGGGCTGAGGATGAAAATAAATCTGAGGTGCTGAAATGGCTCAATGGTCCCCAGGAGTTACTGTCGCAGTTAGTTGCTCAGCTGCATATGAGAAAGGAGATATAAATAAGCAGCCAGGTTGAGTTGGTTATTTTAGGAAGAGTCTAAAATAACTTTTCTCACTTGCTCCAAAATACCACTTAAGTACCCTCTATTGGAACGTCTGTGCTGGCGAGATAGGCTTTGGACTGATTCTGTTTCCTGCCCCTATGTCCATGACATTATGAATGTTCTGTCTAAGCCAGGGGAGTTTCCTGATCCTTCTGCAAGTCAAGCACTTTCTAAACCAGTGTGTAATGCCTGGGTTCCGCAGAGAAGCTGTAGGCAGCTTTCAGGAACAGGTTAGACTTTATCATAAATAAACTAAGGGAGAGAGATAACTGGGAGACAGCGCTATTAAAAAACGGTTTGCAGCCCCTGCTCAGCCAGTTCTCCACAACCCACATGGTTACATTTGTACAATTCTCTTAAAGGACTAGGCTCTTTACAGCTCCCTTTTTCTTATGAAAAATAATAAAAGGTTATATCTGTTTACATTCATAGCATTCCAGCTGCAACAGCTCCAGTTAATCTCTGGATAGGCTTTTTCGTTCTTATAGACATCAGTTTTTTCAAAGGTTCAGCCTCTGCTCCTGGAACTTCTTTGTTCTACTCTTTATCCTTCCTGTTTTTTCCCCTTTGGGTCTGTGCTTTCCTCCACAGTGTCTGCAGCCCTTCATGTGGCTGGAAGGTGCTTGCCCACTTGATATCAGTTGACAAGCTTCTGGTTGGAGTAGTGGCTTTGCTTGACCAAGGCAGCATGCTTAATTCCCATTGCTCTAAACTTTGTTTGCTGGTTCTTGTTTTTCCTCCGAAGTATGTGTTCTGTGCTAACTGAACCCAGTAGCTTGGCATACTCTACATTATGGGTCAGCAATCAAGCAAAGAAACTGGATCTGGTTTGTAGTGGAGTCCCCCAAAGCTGGTGGAGCAGTTTGGGGCTCATGGGGGTTACATTCCAGTAGTCCCAGTCCCCTTGTCAGTCTCAAACCTCTGCTGTGGGAGAGGCTGCTGCTGCAGGAGGAGGTGTTGGGATAGCCAGCAACCAGGGTGTTAATGTAGACCTCTTACTGCAGCCACTCCCTTTCTTGATGCCAAATTTACCATTACTAATTGCTGATTTGGGGGCACATGGTAAGTGAGAAAATATGGTAAATAAAGTTACTACCTCCATCCCTGCAATGGTCAGAAAAATGGTTGTTTTCTGTTCCTTGCTTTTTTCTGTAGCTCTACTTGCTTTTGAGAAGAATTCTATTTCTTGTCTGAATCTCTTCCAGCCTTTTGTTGCATTTCTGGAGAGGTTCAGATGCACTGAAACTCTAATCTGGTCCATTCTTTTCCAAAACACCAACAGTTTCTCTCAAACCACTTTTGGCACCACATATTATAAGTGGGTTCAACAGAGGAACCGTAATCAGCCTTCAAAAACAGGATAGACCTTTGTTAATAAATCAACAAGAAGAGGGATAACAGGGATATTAAGCTCCTTGGGGCCCTGTTCCTCAGCAACTGCTCACAGTCAGATGTCTATAACCAACACAATTACAGTTGTACCAGCCTGTTAAAAGGTTGGCATCTTTACAACAGGGTAAGAACATCACTGTCTCATCTAGTCAAAGGCCATGAACTGTGAAACCTAGGAAACCACCCCAGTGCCATAATAACAAGGAAATAACATTTCTCACAAGCAGACCACTCTCTTGTCACCTCTCAGTTCTAATCCTCAAAGGGAATTTACAAAATACCTTTCACATACAAGCCTATAAACTTCACTTTGTCAACCTACTGGATACAAAAAATCATGGACTAAATATAGACATTGGATTTATGACACATAACCTACCTAACATCTGACTCCCCAGGTACCTCTAAACTATTTACCAGCAACATTCATCCCCCCCACCCCAACCTGTCTCTTACTCACTGACTCTTCAATTTACATCTTCACTGACTGGCTTTCTTGCATGCATACCA